AGCACAAAGCAGCTCATGATTAATAGTATCGAATGCTTTGGAAAAATCAAGCAGTATCAAAGTGCTAGATAAGCCTTGATCACATGCAGTTAATATATCAGTAGTTACGGTTGCTGGAGATATTTCACTATTTCTACCTGGTCTGAAGCCACACTGGCAATCAGGAAGTAAGTTATTTGAAGTAAAATAATCATAAATTTGGGAATATAAAAATTTTTCATAATCGAAAAGGGGTGATGAGAGTAACAAATAGGTAGGGGTTCAAGAGCAAGGTGATAATTATTAAAAAAAATGGTTCAAAATAAAAAAAATTGTATTTCAACCTTATCTAAACTAAACCCAACTTGACCCTAAACTAAAACTGGATACTCGAATTATCGATAGAGATGGTGACTATAGATTAGAGACATGCCCTAAAAACAAAAAAGCAGCTGATGTATACTCTGATTAAAAATCACATGACTCAAGTCACTGAGATTCATACAGACAGATGGAAGCCAAACCTAGCTCTTTCAAATTAAGGATAATAACTACATAAGACAATCAATCGATCGATCAATGTACGTTATTTATTTATTTATCTTAGCAGTAATGAATTCATCAGAGTATTCGTAGCACAAAAGCGCATTGTTAGACTAATTTTCAGCATTGAACACTGAGACAGCTGTAAACCAGTATTCGTTAGGGAAAAATTATTACCGGCTCCCTCCATATACATTCTTAAATGTATAGGATTTGCTAGGTCTAATATCCATGAACTAGAAACAAACGAAACGGCGCACAGTTACAACACACATCATGGTGATGTTTTGCGTATTCCAAGTCATAAGACAACGAAATATAAAAAGTCCCCTTTGTATAATGCCATAAATCTGTATAGTAAATTACCAGAACAGATCAAACAAATTACCTCTGATAAAGTGTTTCATGGTAGAGTAAAGCAATTGCTGCTGCAAAAATGTTACTATAGTTGTGATGAATTCCTGGAAGATGATTTCCGTTGAGCAATGATTTTACTTATTTTTTTTCCTCTTACTATTATTTAGTGTTATCTTCGACGCCTGTTCCATATTTTTACTAAGGAATTTATATACGTGTCTTGTCTATATATTTGTATGTATGTGTGTATGTTTATATATGTGGGTGTGTATATGTGTATATATGTATATACACATATATGATAAATGAAATACCTACCTATAAAAATTTTTTTCATCTTTCGATGAAATCACACATAAATATAGAATACAGATAATTTAATCTTATAGATAAAATGCAAAAAACTACAGTTAGCCCAAGATACTGTCACTATAATACTCCTGCAGGCTGTAGTATCCTTTATTTAAAAATATGCTTTTGACGGTTTTCCGAATGATTCTCGGGCATGATATATTTTTTACTTGGTTCGGCAGATGATTGAGGAGTTTTTTATTCTCAAATATGAGAGAGTGTTTGGTTAATGTTGTTTTTGGTAGCGGTAGGGGTAAGTCGCCTTTTTGACGAGTATTATATGGTCTTACAATTATTGTCATATTGGATTTTTTCTTATGCATCAAGCACACTGTCTCAAGGATAAAAATACTGTATAGGGTCAGAATTCCATGTTTTATAAAAAGTGGTTTACAGTGATCCCTGGACTTAGCTTTTGATAAATATCTGAGAGGTCTTTTTTGTAAGACGAATACTGAGCTCATTAGCTGATAACAGCAAAAACCCCAGAACGAAATGCCATACATTAAATGTGATTCAATGAGAGAAAAGTAAGCCATTCTGCCTGTCTTTGTTCCGAGTTCCGTAGTGATAACTCTGATTGCATAGCAGCCCGAGGCTAGTTTTTTGTTTATGGTCATCAAATCGTAATTTATCGTCAATGTATATACCTAAGAATTTTATGCTGGTATTGTTATTTATGATTTGTTAATTCAAGGTCAGATTTTCATAATTGAACTTGAAGGTCAGGATTTTGGTTTTATTTCCGTTGAAGCAAAGATAGTTTGAGTCACACCAGGTTTTAACTTTCTGTAAGTCTAGAAAGATACGCTCTTTCAGAATTTCTATATCACTTCCATGCCATAGTATGGTGGTATCGTCTGCAAACATGGTAAAGGTTCCATGTATATCAATCTTACTAAGATCATTAATGTAAATAAGGAAAATAATTGGACCAAGAACGGATCCTTGAGGAACTCCCCAGTTTATTTTTGAGATATCAGAGGAACAATTCGGCAATTCGACAATCTGATTTCGGTTCGAAAGATAGCTTTCAAACCAGTCGAGTGTCACCCCTCTGAATCCATAGCAATATAATTTTTTGAGTAGTACTCTGTGATTAACACAGTCGAATGCTTTTGAAAAATCGCAGAATACTGCTCCAATAGCTCTTCCATCGTTTAGGCCAACATGCAGTTCATTTAAAAAGTTGAAAATTGCATCACTTGTGCGTTTAGAAGTTTGAAAACCGAATTGTACTGTAGATAATATGTTATGTTGGTTCAAGAATGCCAATAATCTCTTTTTTACAATTTTTTCTATAACTTTTGAAATGGTAGATAACAAAGCTATTGGTCTGAAATTTGAAGGAGTCTCCAGCTCTCCTCCTTCATGGATTGGCACTATAACGGCTGTTTTCAAACATGACAGACAGTGAATCACAGTAAGAAAGGCAAAGAAAGGTTCGTCAACCAACAGACCAGTGCTTACACCCGGACCATCCAAGGCAGTGGGAAGTGGCTCAAACACAATTTGTGGTGATGATCTGACTATGCATATGTGCAAGTACCTTTGGCATCGAGAAGTCCGCCACAATAAGTTGGATCCGTTCTTAGAGCTAATCAAATGGAATAAAAGTCAATTCAAACCAAAGTATATGTAAGTCCTGCCCTATTTCTTCAACTGGTTCATTCAGTTGTCCACCTTTGACAATTTAGTTTAGCTATAAAAAGCTATATCAATTAGATTTTTTCTTCGACAATAAAGTATATTTTGAACGATTGGTTAATAGTTTCTATGACCCTCAGTATACAATTGTGTGTCAATTATATTCTGATCAACAACACTGTTTTACTTCAATGTCAATTATGTCAGTTCAGTCAAGATATTTGATTGCAAAAATTTCAGTTTCAAATGTTGAAAAATTATCGTTGCTCTGGGGTGAGTTTGCTTTAAAACTATAAGCCGATACACAATACATTCCCAAACTGATTAGGAAAACAATCAAACCGCAATTCATGACTGGTTTTTGATCTATTTAAATTTCGACATTACTTACCAGTGACTTGTTCTGCGGCCCAATGTTTTCCGCAGGTTTCCAGCACCCAAGCTGTCTCCGAATCACAAATTATGAAGGAGTTGTGGTATACCAAGCTCGAGTCAGACTCAGAGCAAGGTCCACCTTGTCCGTATTCTTCTAGCAATTGGATCATAACTTCTAAAGCTTTGGTTGCTGTGCAACCTATTTCCAGTCCAAGCCTGTCGAAGAGAATTGTTAGCCAGAGGAAAAAAGGTCATGAACTTCAAGTATTTATAATATATGCAATTTGAACAATGTTTGAACTGCTGCAGGTTTGCGCCCAGCTCAATACTTCTGAATATGTATCAACAAAATTTTATTACAGAAAAAATTGTTACTGTAACCCCCCTAAACTCCTTAAATCTTAGGATGCGACTTTCTATGATTTTAATTGAAACAAAATCTGACTTTGAGGTAGAAACATTTTGGTAGCTGAGAATCTTTAAAATGCTCTCTCACATTTTTTACATAGACAGATTATATTATTTTTCAGGTGTCTGTACTTGTGAATCTCTTCCGAAATTCTGATGTTTTTTCCTATGAAATTTTTTGTAAATCCACCGATAGTTTCACAACGGTTTATAATGATTATTGTATATGATATATAGCATTAAGTAACCTGACTAAATCCATTCCAAGAAGTCTCTTCACACTCGGATCTTGATCTCCGTCATTGTCTTTAGTCCAGATAGCTTCGTTCCCTATCGCTACTCCCCACTCGTTCGCTCCCATCTCTGCCCCCCACATCCAAGAGGGTTTACTCAATATAACAGCGTTCTTGAATCCCGCAGATTTCACTGTTATGTAAGTACACTGAAAAATTGACAAAATTGCTTATAGATATATCATAAATCAGTAAAATGTTCAATCATCGCACCTTTACTGGTTTATAGGAAATGATTGAGGGAAAATAAACCACTTCTTGAACCTCATTTGAAGGTCTGTCTGAATTTTTTCCGAAGACTACCCCGTATTTCGTCAATGGGGGTAAAACCACAAATGTATCACAGGAGTTTGGTTCCATCTGGACAGTGAGAAATGGTGATATGCGCTGCAAAAAATAGTATAAATGAGGAAAATATCAAGGAGATGTAAAACTAACCGAATAGAATTTTAGAAAACTTACGAATGTAAAATTATCACGAATTTCCACCAATACACTTCAATTCTATAGACAATTTTTTATGTGGCTAATTGTATAGTTAAACGTGACTGTCAACCATTTTCTGTGTCTACTATATCGGTTCCGGAATTTTAATTTTGTCTGAAATGGCGACTTTTCTGTGATCAATAGTAAGAACTTGTAAGAATACAGTTTGAGTCTGCATCTTTCTCATATGGAATTTTAATCATTAATTTTATCTACAACTAATATCTCAATTTTGTATAAAATGCAATTTAGTAGTGTAAATTTTGAAATATAATAAAAGTATGCATTAAAAACATCATGCAACAGCCTACAAATAAATTTATATGTAATATTAGATACTAATGTAATATATAGAACGTTATTTGACGGATATTTCTTTATTTATTGTGTCATACAAAATACTAAGCATTTGCTAGAAGCTACACGTTATATAATACGCCAAAAATATAAAGTAAAGCTATCAATACATATAATAAAATACAGTATATCTAATCGCTGTCGAAAGATATTGGAGAAAAATATTTTTGCGGATCTTTATCGATACAATAAAATTCAAAACAAATATATTCAGAACTTCTTTCTGTTTGTGAGGACATTTATGTGCGCTAATCTCAAACACAGTTTCAATTATTTAGGGGCGGTTCTGCTGTTATCACTAATATCATGTCTTGTGGTGAAGCCTCAGAACAATAAAATACAAATATATATTGTTGCTCTGAGGGTGAAGCTTTACTTTTGACTTTTGACATTTGACGCGATCGAAGTTAATTTTAATCATTTATGAAGAGTCTATTTTCTTATTTCAACTGTATAAGTTTATAATTTAATTTTTGTAGAAGTTTATATAAAATCCGAATAAACGTGCCTTCCTTAATTTATCGAAATAGTTTGCTCATTTGGATATATTTAAAGATATTTTATACGGGTGGAATTTGTGAGATTTAAGAATTCTTTGAATACCCGCACGACTTATGTCAAAAAATATAGACAATAGTCTGGTATGTAACGTAAATTCATTGCTGAAGTAGCCCAACACAACAACCTCCACAACTTCGTTTTTCCATTATTTTATTTAGTGGGTTACGTCTTCGATTTGTCATCGATCCTGTCTCTAAATTTTGCTAGAGTTAAAATACGTACTCTCGGTTAAGATGCTCATTTGGATTTTGATCTTCGAACAACTGTGCTCTAGTATTAGGGCACCTACTATTCATAATGAAGTTCAATTATTGACACCCTTTCTGCAGTGTAATAAAACATTTCGAGCAAACAACCTGAATTAGTCACGGTCAAAATCTGTGAGATACCAAATCTAGATAAATGAAATTCTAAATACTTTCGAAGATTAACAAAAAATGCGTTTATAGTTTTTCATTGGGAACATGGCATTCCAGAGTAGATAATAAAAAACTGTAAATAGGCCAGTACCTATAGTATTTCTTCAAATAAAATCTGGCTAGGTGCTCGCAGAAAAATTAGTTTTAAAAATGAATGCCGATTTCGTTTTCATTGTCACATCTGTAGGTTGAATTTTCGAGATCAACTAATCTCTGAATGTTTTAAACTTCCTCAACTCCAAAACCTTTGAAATGGTTTTCAGGCACACGTACCACTCACCGTTTTGGCGTCAACAGAAGATGAAGATAATAATAATAATAGCGTTTATTACCCAACAGTTAAAAACCATTTACAGGGTTAACTGAGTATGTTAAAAAATAATATAGGTGCTTGTAACTACAAAGTTACTATTTGAGAAAATGAATAACAAATATATAGTATAATAAAATGAAATAAAACAAAAAAAAACTAAACCAGAAAATTGAAAATTCCTCATGAAAAACAGATTCAGTTCAAAGAAAATAATATTCTAGGGAATCAAAATTGTCATCACACAAATTTGAAATTGAATTGAAATTATTGCAAATGCTGAAAAAAGGTAATTCGAGGTACAAATTGGTTCTGGCCAGTCGGCTGTAAAATGTTTTTGATAACATGATAACAACATAACATGATAACAACTTATGACTTTTTCCACATCTGGTCCAATGTTTGACGTTAAAAAGCATACCAAAGTTTTGGTGTAGAAAAAAGTAGTACTAAGTATAATTAATTCGGCTTATCTATACCTGTTGTTATAAATGTGAGAGTTTCTGAGGATGGATGTATGTATATTTGTGGCTCTTTAACGCCTAAATGACTGAACGGATTCAGATAAAACTTCACATAAATATAGTTTATACATTAGAATAACATATAGGCAATAATTTACGAAGGTTTTGTGTAATTTTGGTCCCTGAGAGCTATCTTGCATATGCATAGTTTGTAAAATTGATGATAGGCAAATACATGAGATCATTTTGCTGTTAGAACAACTAAAGTCTAGGCGAAGGAAATCGCAGGAAACAGCAACAATGAAAGAACGATTTTTTTGCACAAGATCCTTGTGGCAGTGAAAGTGGAAGGGATCAGATAATTTAAATGAGTATTAGGGCAACGAAATGTTTTAAATCCTTTGTCAGTTTCGAGTTCATATTTGTCCAATAATTATGAAAAAAACCTAAAAAATTTGCAATTAGATTAAAACTCTAAGAATTATTATGAATCTTCTGTTAATAATTGTTCTTCACAGATAACAGGAACAATAATTCATTGGCCAGTATTGTGTTTGTATAACAATTATAAAACTTTGGCAAACTTTAAGTAGGGCTAAAATTTATTTACCTCTATTATATTAGCGATTGGTGGTGGTCTTATGTGACTCCATTGTCTCTGTGTTTATCTGGATTTGTTCAAGCAAAGTAGCAGTATTTGTAAGCTAATCTTCTATATTTTACTCAAATGTGTGTCTTGTCAACAATATGTGAATTTTTATATTTGCGAGAGTTTTGTTATCATTTGATTTTTCGAAACGTAATGTAACTATCAGCATAACAGAGCATCAAACAGGATTATTAAAAAACTAGGATTTAACTGATGAATTCCGAGGTCAACAGTAAAGTCAGCTGGAATATGAAAAATGCAGATCCGGTTGTTTAGAAATAAAAGATGTTTGTTTCGTGTCTTGTCATAGGGATGTACAAGGGTGTGCAAAAGTTCAGAATAAAATTAATATCTTTTTAACCAGTATTTTAGAAAAAAAAAGCTGAAACACGTCAGTTGATTTCACGTTGTACGCATTTTTTTGCAATAAAATGAAATAGTTTTTTTCAACCCCTTAGCTGCAACCCTCCCCAACTTTTTTTTTTCAAATGCAAACCTATGTCGTGTATGGGCTCATTGAAAAGCTCGTAAAAAATGGAATCTGATCATACCCTCTATTTTTTTTACTCATGCGGTTACCATGAAATGGGAAAAAACTCTTTTGAAACCAAAAAAGTTAGAAATACCTACTTAGTGCTATCTACGGGTGAATTAACGTTGCAAAAAACAAATAATTGGTGATGATGTTCATTGCTCAACAATTGCTAAGGATCACCAGTACCTACTTTCTAAAAGTTTACAAATTTTAAGAACAGACCAACCGGGTCAGACACCACAACAAATTTTATTGATTAATGTGTAAAAGTGATAACGTAATGTAGCATCAACATTCTGTGGTTTTTATTTTTTCACCAAAAACTCATACATAAAATTAGTTCCCAAGCAATTGTTGACCAGTGTACCTCAAAAAGAGAAAAAGGTTGTTGCATCTTTTGTACCAAAATGAATGCTCTGATAAGAACTATTACCTTGACTCAGTTTTAAAATTGTGGCATTTCTGGGTGAATTTGAAATTGTATGTATATGTTTAGTTTATTAATTGGGTACCTTCAAAGTGCTGTTTTTTAATTTGCTAAACAAAAATGGTATTGTCAGAGAGGCAGTGTATCGAAAGTCTTGATACCTATTGTTGGAATGTGGGGATAGAATGCAGAGTCAAACTGAGGTGTGTACTTTATTCAATGCAAAATATCCGGATAATAACATTTCCCAGGCTACTGTGAGTAAGATCTTACACAAATATGAAGAACACGGTACAGTAAAGGACTTGCCCAGAAGTGGCCGGCCACATGTTTTAGACGAAGATCATAAATTGGACATTGCCGTATCTCTGCAGGAAGATCCACATTTGTCAACGGTTTCATTAGCCCAAAAAAATTCTGCGTCTAGACGTACGATTGGGAGGTTTTTGAAAACAACAATGTCTCTATTATTAATCTCTGTAGCAAATAAAACCTCTCTCGAACATTTAAAGCCCCCTTAATCCCATCTAGTGAGCGCCCATGTGTTTGGAATAAACCAACTGCGCATGCTACTACCACGCGTCTCACAATCACCGCTTTCTTTTTGCTGATCTATTCATTTCTTTTTCAGTTGTGATTCCACCGTAGTTGGTGGTGGGTTGTTTTGAGAGAGTGGTTCCAAATCGACTGTTTGCGAAAATGGCATTGTTTCGTCGCCTCACACCAACAAGACTAGCTGACACACAGGTAAAGTCCTACTGTAGTTATTAACCTCACTTTATGTTTACCGCATGTTTTATTTTTTCGAGTTTTGAAACCATCCCCTAATGGAATGGTTGGGGGTATGTAGGTACCTGATGCCTTGTTGGGAGTTTGCCCTTTTCCACGGGTTTTTAGAGTGGCAGAAATGAATATTTATGTGCCAGGGTTGTAGAGTTACATGGAATATTGTAGAGTATTATATTACGTAAGCGGCCAAGGTGTAAATAAGCCAGAATTCATGTAGACTGAAAGTATCCAGAAACCACAGAAATAGATTGATAAGTGGAGTGTATTACAATTATTTTGAAGGTTGAAACAACTTTGCGTTATATAACTAAGTAGGTAAAAAATATGGAACAAAAACTCAAAATCGTTACATTTTCACTAATAGCAAACCATTTGTAGAGATATCATCTTGTCAATATAATATTCTCTTCGTATTCACTTGTATATTGCTAAATATAGAGCACTATGTGCTTTTGACATTGGCAAATGATAAATTCCCTCTAGAATATCGCATGATTACATGAAAACAAAATTATTTAAAGGTCAAATAGTGGGAAAGGGAACCTTCTTGTCATTCAAAGCTGGTTACTTATATAATGAATTGGTTTTGTGCGTCACTGTCATGTGAATAGAAAAACGCGATAAGATATGATACCTGTCCTATCCCACGATTATTGTTAACCTGATTGAAAATATCCAGATCTTAAGTAATTTATTGTTTTTAGGAGTAACTAACGGTTTCAGTTTTGGTGTTACAGCAACGTTTGAAACAACCAGCATGAAATCAATGACACAGACAAGGTCTTGAACATTTTTCATCCCTCCGCCCTATATAGGGAGGATCATAAATAAAATCTCTTGCCCTTTTTACGCCTACCTACTCTTTTTATGGTTATCCTCACTTTGACATTGATATTAGACGTTTTCAATGTTTTTACTAGGGCGAAACCCGACTGACACACAAATTTCCTGCAAAGAAGTAGGTTTTCTAAGAATCCCGTCGACAAAAGAGAATCTCGCTGGCTTCTGACCAAAGGCGTAGTCAAAATGATTTATTGAGGGGTTTGGAATTCTATCAGATAAAACCAGACCCAAAGAAAATAGTCTTGCAGCGAGTTCCATTTAAACGATTTTCCGTTGACCCTCACCGAAAATTATAATTGAGATGTTATCTAGAAGCTTTTTGAAAAATTTGAAGTTGCAAAATTTATGAACAAACGAGTGAAACACATAAAACCGGGTTTCGTCTTTTTGCAAATATCTCGAGAAGTTCATTTTTTTTTAAATGTACACAAATGAACACCAGAACAAAAAATGTTTTCAATAGATTTATTTCATGTCACAGGACCCAATTTCGCATTCTAAATAAGATAGACAAATATTTTATCGAATGTGTATGATATACAAATCAAAAATGAACAAAAACACAACACTCCAAACAGAGGGGCAAACCGCGGACACGTGTTTCTGGCTATTGACCTCATCAGCGCGGTGCAGCCAATTGTAAAGGTGGGCAACACTTGTTTGCCGAAAGCAGGAAACAACACATATGCACGGAGTCAACAACAGTTCATTTATAAACTATTTAATAACTGATTTTTTCAATAGTAAAAAAATTTATAAAAACAACCATGTATGTGTAATGTGTAAAAAGGGCCAACCGCAGTTGACAACTAAGTTATCTACTTTGATAATATAATCTTATTTTTGTAGTTAGATTTCTCAGTTTATTAAAATGAGTGGGGCTTTGATGAAGAACAAAACAACCCAAAATATATGACACTCATCAAACAATTTTTTCGTCTACTTTTTAACTAATTTGATGTCAACTTTTGACAACTGAAACATTAAGTAGAATTTAATGTGCCCCCTATTTGGTATGTTAATCCAAAGTTCTACTATCATCTAGTCTAGTCAAATAACGTTGTTATTAAAGACTAAATCATTGATTACAGAAAGAATACAGGAAGTCACTGATTCATGTGAAAATCAAGAAATGCATATTATTTCCTGCGTTAATTACATTTTCGTAATGATGAGTGCTTTCGGGGTGAAATCTGTTGAAACTTAGTCAATTTTGTTATTATTCTTTTGAATAGGACACTGAGTTAAGTATGTTTGGACCCCAAAGGTTCGTGACACCTGTAAAATGCAAACTTCTCACTCATCGAATCTCACCTTTAGCTTGTCTATGGGGTTGATAGAAAACTCAAATTTAGTTTTTGGAATCCCCATTTGGTGGTCGATGTTGAAGCTAAACAGACCGCATACCACCGCAACAGACAAAGAAACTACCAATGGGAGCAGTACTAATAGAATAGAATTAGGTGTAGAAGAAACGGCAACCAGCCTCTACAAAGGAGGTTGTATCGCTCACAACTGCGGTGGCATTCCCAGTGAAGCGCCACCACGTTACTCCAGACAAGTAAGACACCTATTTGGATACTACTTTTCCCGGTCGTTGGATTGGCCAGGTCCTACAGCACACTCACCAGATTTGACACCTTTGGACTTTTTTATGTTCGCCATCTTGAAAGTTTCATCTGTCAATTTAACTTCAAAGTAAAGTATTCATGCATTAATTTCATTATCCCAAATTTCAATTTTTTGAGTTGACCCTTTCAAAAAATGAAAGGGGGGGGGGAATTGAAGAAATGCACTGTATAATGAATGAATCTTGTGTCAACCTCGACCAAGGGAACCGAGTCAGCGTTAAACGGTCACGGTCATTGATATACAATTAATTCAATAATACACTACATAGTCAATATCGTTATTTCTTTGTAATGTTCGTCACTAAATTGCTATGTTGTTTTTTAGAAACTCGCTCCCCAAATTTCGCTCGTCTTGAGACAACTTAGCGATGCATCCACAGATCTCAAAGCCGTTTTGGCAGCCAAAATTCCCAAGGAACAAGAACGCGTCAAGAATTTTCGAAAAAGTCATGGATCCACAAAGGTCGGAGAAATTACAGTTGACATGGTGAGTGTTTTTGAAATATTTTCCTTTTATTATTGAAATATTTTCCTTTTTTTGTTATTTTTGAAATATAGACAACTCTCAGATAATTTGCAGTCGTTTTCAATACAAGTTTTTAACTGAATATATAGGGTCTCATTTAAACCATCTGGTTAGAAAACTTAATAGCAGCTTCTATGCACTACTGCAACTACGTCAAGTTTTGAATGTGAAATCTTTGATTAACGTGTATTACTATATGGTTCAATCTACACCAGGGGTCTCCAAACTACGACTCGCGGGCCAAATCCGGCCCGCCAGTGTCATCAATCCGGCCCGCGACAGCCAATGATTTACTGTCATCAATCTGGCCCGCGACAGCCAATGATTATCTAATTGTTGTTACTATTGCTGTGATAAGTTGAAGAAGAAAACACAGGATGATAATTACTCGGTTTTATTTACTTGCAAGGTAAAACTTAACGACAGAAATGATGACAAAGAAAACTTAACTTAAGTATCTAAGTTTAAGCATATTATAATAACTAACAAATAATTGAAATGAATTACAATAAAACAAAAACACTAACGAGATTTATGTAATTGTGATTTTCCACCGACAATACTTTGTAGTTGTGGATCAATTTTACTTGTACCAATTATCAAAAGAGATTTTAAGATGCTCATCGGTTAATTGAGATCTGTAAACATTCTTTGTGTACTTCATCTTGGAAAACGTTTTCTCACACAAGTAAGTATTACCAAAAACATAAAACAACCCACGAGCAAATTTATGCAAATTATCAAATTGTTCCAGTGGAAGACTCTTATAGAATTCCAACAAAGATGAATTTTGATATTTGTTCTTAAGCATATCACTGCACCGTAAATCAATATTTTCCATTTGGACTTTCGGAGCCAGGGTTTCAATGTCAGAATCAAAAGGATTTTGAAAAAGCTTAATTTCATTCGCAATGACATCAAAATCTGAAAAACGAGTATCAAAATTTATCTTCAAAGCTCTCAAAGTTTTGTAGTGTGGCTGAATATTTCACATGTTTCAAAATGTGTGAAACATTTTTTACGTAATTGCGATTGAAATAGTATTCCTTCCTGAAGGATTTGATATTGGTGTATAAATCAGGGAGAAGCTGATTTTCTCCTTGCAATTTCAAATTCAGTTCGTTCATATTATTTGTCAAATCGACATAGAAGGCTAACTTCCACATCCATTCACTATTTTACACACTTTTAAGTAAATTTACCTTTTCGGGGCATATTTCTTCGGCTACTGCAATCAAGCATTCTTTTATCATTTCTCCATCGGTGAATGGGTTGCCACGTTTTTCGATTTCAAGAGCCACTCGAAAGCTGGCGCGAGTTGCAGACTCTTGTGTAGTATTTGCTTTGGTGAACAAAGAATGCTGCGATTTGAGTCCGCGTTTCAAAGCTTCAAATTTTTCCTTCCGCAAACTTCCTGTATACTTGGAGTAACTTTGAAGATGTTTCGATTCATATTGTCGTTTAATGTTATAGTCTTTGAGAACAGCTATGGTTTCATTACAAATTAAACATAGCGCCTTATTACTGGACTCAATCACAAAATACTGAAAGTTCCATTTTTCTTGGAACGTTCTGCATTCACTGTCGATTTTTCGCTTCTTTTGCATACTAACAAATCACACATCAAAACAATAAGTCAAATCAAAATACTTTTATTGACGGGTGTCTTTTTATTTCACAATAGACAGTTTCGCTTCCTTCGCCTTTCCTACGCAGACTAACTCGCAGTTGCGCCGCTAGCCTTTTTATATGCAATTATTACTGCCATCTCGAGGTGATCGGAATACACTAGCTAGAACCAGAACTTTCTCGAACCAACGCGGTAATTCCAAATATTTAATTACGCCTAATGCCACCTAGCGGGTAGCTGAAAAAGATAGTACATAGTACCACTACTCGCCACTAGATGTCGTTAAGTGTCACAATACACAATAAAAATTGAAATGCAAAAAAGCTAAGTTTGCTTAGGTCACGCACTTTGCGACTATCCTATTCTAGAAATATAGTTAAGGGCAGAAATTGGCCCTTGGAACAAACTGAAAAAATCATTATGGCCCGAAGGCTTCAAAGTTTGGAGACCCCTGATCTACACTCTCATACAATGCCATCTTGTGGGGAGATTGTACTCTCGGTAGTTACGTTGCCAGAACAGACCACTCATTTTGATAAAACAAAATTTATTATTTGCACGTGTCCCCCCCATGCCTTGTTGTTTGATATGTTCAATAAATTTGAGCTTATTGTCAATGAAATTTTGATTGGTTCTCGTTCTTGATCACTTAGTTATCACCAAATGACAGGTTATCAAGAGCACATCTAAATGATAAAATGTTTGTTTTAGTGATATTGAAGGATAGCAAATTAGCATCTCACCGCTCCTTGATTTTTTTCATATCAGTAGATATTGCGTTGTGTAAATCATTTGAAATTATTTGTCAGCAACCAATCGACTATATCGCCAGATTTTTTAATTTCGTCCAACTTATCCATAATAAATGTAAAAAAAACTTACCGAAAAGTGAAAACCTGAAAACACCTTGAAATTGAAAGAAAACACTTTAAAAACACATTAAAAATATTACCAAAAAGCACTGATATAATACAATACTGCCTGTTTTATACACAAAATAACAAATATTATCAAGAAACACTAAAACGATTTACCGAAATGTTTTTCAGTTCAGGTTCGTCACGGCATCCCGTCCGAATAATTAAATAAAAAAACAAACGCAGCCGTACACTAACGGAAACCAACCGGAGGCAAGTCTCCTCAAAAGCTATAATTTCTGCAACTAAAAGTACAAATCGGGACGTATGGCGCTGGTTGGATCAGCCTCGCGAAGCTTGTGTTTTTCAAAACGGTCGGAGGCTTGGCTCCCTTGCAACGTATTGCATTTATTATTTCAGGTTGATGGTTTATTCGTTATTCGTTCATGGGCGGTGCGTTTGAGGTTTGTTCCCATAATATCACTGATAGCAGACTATGCTTCTTTCATTTTATTTGTCGACTTACCGATTTGGTTACCATAATGGATTTCCTTCGCTCTTTTAATAGTGGATCTATATATTCTGCGGTAGTTATTGAAGAAGTCATGGAAGTAAATATTGTCAGTAAATTTTCGTATGTTATGCAGTGTACAGCTTAAATAAAGAAAAATATAGAAAGTTTGTTCATATTGGTCTTCCACTAAATGTTTCGTTTTAAATCGATGGCAGACAATTATTAATTTCAATAAAAAAACATGAAGGGCGTCAAATGCGTCACTAGCCGAAGCGCCTGGATGGCTAAGACCGGGCCTGTTCTTGAGTAGCCGTGCAGTGACATACAGGTTATAATAAAACAAAAATTGGATGTGATAACGATGACGTAGTAGTTTCCTGAGCACTCTTAAATAATAATTTCGAAATTGGTCATCTACGCCCACGAATATTATTATGAAATTCCAGGAACACAGCTTGAATTTTCATTAAAAAGTGGGTCAATAAAATAGTTTATTTATTTATATCTAACAGATGGATGATTTATGCATTTTAACTATTACTATGGGATTTTATGCTAGCAAAATTATATCTTTCTTGATTTTGAGGTTTGAGGTTATCTGCGTCTTTTCCAAGCAACCAGGGTTCTAAAATTTGTGAGTTCTTGGGAAATTGAACTCGTGGACGATCGAAAGTATTCATTCAAAAATCCAGCACTCTCGATAAGGTAAATTTCAAACGAGTTCTACGACCTACAAATTCCTTTCCAATGTCGCTGACCTTGTAGGTTGTAGTAGAAATGTGACTTGTATACATATCCTTGTTTTACTCCATAATTGAGTAAATTATGGTACGTTTTCTTGAGCAAATATTCACAGTTGTTTACAATTAAGATATACTGGGTGCTCTAGTATTGTCAAATATGGAAATAGTCATGAAATAATTCAAATTCATTCATGCAAATATATTAATCAAAATTGATACTATTACAGGATATGTTAGTTCATTTCCGAGCGTATGAAAGCGTATGAAATTATGAAGAGGTATGTAAGTAAATAAAACAAATACGAGGATTGCTTTTTATATATTGAGATTGAGGCAGGTCTTAATATAAATATAAGTTTACCTGATGGATTTGTTAATCCGGTGGATAGTCCATCTAGAAAGGCCCTCCTAGATGAGGTCACAGTTACATCGACCCATACTTTAGGGGTAGTATGACCAGCATTAACTCAGGTTTCATCCATATAATAAATTGTTCTCTGTTGTTTCCTATAATATTAAATTTTGGTCAAATACTCTCTCCTCCATAACACAATTTCCTCTCTATCCAATAATAAACTATTGCGCCCTCGTTTTTTCCATAAAAAATTCGAATGTTTCAATACTTTATGGAATGTTGACCGCTTAAAACTTGGCAATAAAACATCTTCATTTATTACTGTGAGTACTTTGTCTATCGTGGGTATTTCATTTCTGAAAAAGTACTCATTCACTTTCCTCCTGGTTGCATGTTTATCAGCATCATCTATTGATTTTATAATGGTTTGACGATTCTGATTTGTATTCGGTTTGGAAAATGTATGATTTTGTTTATATTCCCGTAAAACATTGTAAATCGAAGCGCAACACACTCCAATTTTATCGGAAACTTTCGATACGACTTCGTCGACAGTCGATGTCTCAATTTCTTCCATCTATTTCTTGAACACATTTAAAATCACTTCTTTCATCTCAACACTCAAATGTCTTTTTTTGGATCGTTTCCTGGCTGGACTCAGAGGATAGCTCACAGTGTCATCAGCAGTGTCTGTACTGGACATCTTGGAAAACAATTTTAAACAATATACTATAACGCACGCCACACGAACACGCAAACGACTGATTACAACCCTGTGCTGGTACCGAATTCACCAATGAACGCCGCCCTTTCCATCTGACGCTGGGCGATCACGTGAACATCACGCTTCGGTTTTGTTTTG